AAAAAAAAACCATTTCTGTTATCTTCTGTAAAAACACGTCCTGTGCAAATCCAGAGACTGTGGAGGTTTTTACTGAAACTGTGCACGAGAAGAGAAAAGTGATAAAGTCTCTAAACTGAGCAGCCATTCAGTGAACTGTCACCAGACACAACAAGAGTCTGGTCATACCGGACCAAGTAAGGCTGCAGCGACAAACCGGACCAGCTCACATGAGCTAAAGCTAACTCTGTCTGATGTCTTCCTTTTATTTAAAGTTAAATACTCTTAACTGAGTGTAACACATGTATCCATGGATCAATTTAAAAAACACTTCATATCAAGTCCTCCATTTATTAATGTCTGTTCAGCTAAAAGTACTTAAAGTATCTAAAAGTACTCATTCTGCGGCAGTAACTTGTTGCGGTAACACTAGTCAGACAACTACACTAAAATATATAAGAATATATTTGGAGTCTGTAGTGATGGTGACTGTGAGATCCTTAAAAGTCCTGCTACACACATTTCTATTCATTTTGCATCTCATGCCTCATTGGACAGATAATAAATTACTTCAATGAACAAAACTCATTTTATTCCTGGATATAAATTGTATTGCAAAGCATTATCATATGTTTTGATAGTATATATAATATATCAAATAGTCAAAGTGACTCGATGTAAGAAAACATCTGCAATACAGTGAAGTATAATGTAGCATCTGCTGAAAACAAAAGTACAAGTACCTCAAAGTCGGTTAAAGTACTGCAGTTAAGGAAAAGTGCGAGTAGCTGTTTTTATTTATTCTTTAAGTTCAGACTCAAACTAAACTTTTGACAATGGAAGACGTATTTTCTTCAAACTAAATCCTCAGCGCTGCTCGTTTTTAACGATTTTACATGTGAGACGTTTGGTTTCTTCTGTTCAAAGTTAAAAATAAAAGATATTCTAAATAAGTGAGGATCAGAGAAAAGCTTTAGTTTGTGACACTCAACATTTCCAACGACATCGTCCTTCGGAACAAGAATATGTGACATCGGTTGAAATGTCGACTCGAGCAGCAGTTACAGGAAACATGACGTTGATGAACAGACTCTGATCAGTGTCATCGTTCAAAACCTTCAACCCAACATTAACCACTGTTTCCTCATTACCGCGGCAACAGCATCAAAACCGTGCACCAACTGAACGTTGTGTTTGCGTCTGAACGCAGCTTTCAAATCTGTGAGAGCAGAATCTCGCATGTGCAACATGACACATCGGCACGTGTCCCACAGCAGAGGTCCACGGTGCACTTCCTGTTCCAGGGCCTCCGCATCCGCCTCTGGTCCATGTGCGCTGTGTCGGGACAGCGCTCTGTCATTCTTGACTTCAGTGTAAACTGTTTACACTGAGGACACTTTCTCAAGTTGCAGGTTTGAGCTCGGCCTCTCCTTAAAAGGCCGTCGGATTCTACCGACGCACCTGTGGGTTCCTCCCGCCTCGTCTCTGAGGTCATGCCGCTGGAACTCCTCATCGCTGCTTTGAACCCACGAGGCCCCCGACGCACGTTAAAAGTTATTTCTCTCTGGCCGACTGTTGTTTTCTAATCTACAGCGAATAAAGAGCGTGCGTGATCGACTTGGAAACGGAACAGAGGTGGCAGCAAAATAACAAGCGGAGTCTCGGGGCTTCATTCCTGACTAAGAGCCCGCTGGCTGCTGAACGTAATGAAAGGAATGTGGGTTTCATCGAGCACTGCACCTCTGCGGGAGATTAAAGCACTGATGAGAGACGGCACTATTCAGGGAGGAGGCCACATCTCCTGCAGGAGAACAACAGCCTGCTGATGATGATGATGATGATGATGATGATGATGGGAGTCGCAGGCCACTCGTTCTGTCGGCAGCTCTGACTCATCACCTGATTCTACTGTCGCCTCATCAACAGCTCAGCTTCACCGGGAGGCTCAGAGCCTCAGCTGCGATCCAGCACGTTCACGCTGTGTACAAACGCACTCAGGAGTGGAATGTGACATTCAAGTGTAAGTACATTTACCCTCGTGCTGCAGTTTGAGGTACTTGTACTCAGTTTCTGTCACTGCTACTTGTATCCTCGACTTCACAACACGTCAGAGAGAAATATTGTACTTTTTACTCCACTGGATACTTGAAAACCTTAAAAACACTAAACACACATGAGGTAGTTAGTACTTTTACTCTTGTACTGTTGTTTGAGGTACTTGTTCGCAGTGCTGCTTGTATCCACAACACCTCAGAAAGGATTATTGTACTTTTACTCCACTAAATACTTCTAAACAAATATGAAAAGTTTGAAAACAACAAACAGTATATGAGGAAGTTCAAATTTACTTAAACTCCTCAGACTTCAAAATTCTGCTTCTGTAAAAAAAATATAAAAAATATAAAACTACTGTGCTGAGTACTTTTACTTTTAACACTTTTATACATTAAGTATATTTGTGATGCTTCTGTTTCCCCACTTTCTTTAAACTGTGAAATCTGTTGTGATATTTTCACAGTTTCTCGTGAGAATAATTCAAAGATCTCGATCAGGCTCATTTCTGAGCCCGTTACTTCTGAGTACGTGACATTTGTTGCAGCTTGATTAAATTAAGTTACGACTGTTGGGCCTCGTTGGAAATATGAGTTGTGTCATGTCACTAGTTTACTTTTACATATTAAGACAGTGAACGCAGGACTTGTTGTACTTTCACTCTTCATATGTCGGATGAAGTGAATCCAAACTTTTCCCACCACCACTCAGTTATTCTTTAACCAGTCAAACCTCTGACAGTGATACAAACAGTAAATGCAGCGACATCAGTCCGACCTGTTCTGATCTCAGACTAAACAAAACAAATAACTAAAACCTGATTCAGCCCCAGAACCATCAGCTCGCTCGCTGCGTCATCTCTCAGCTCAACACGCCTGCAGGTCAGAGCCTGCACACAACCTGCACCCCCACCAGACATCACGTCTCAATGAAGACTTTCATTGGTCAAACTCAACATGCAACTTTTATATTGTGTTTTGCAGGGAGTTATTGCAATGAGATAAAAAATAATATGATATTTCATTAGTCCCACAATGGGGGGACATCTGCTGTGCTGCAGCAGTAATGAAGAAAACTGTAAAAGTATTAAATGAGTAAACATGTCACATAAGAGTGTCAAAGATTCTAGACAGATGAATCTGCTTCATGGTGAAATGTGTCTGCTCTGTTTGAATCCAACAACCTGCAGGTTTGATACAAGTAGTTCATGAACCGTTGTCCAACAAGCTGAGGACAGAGCGCGAAGCTGCAGCATCTCGTGATGAAGACATCACACCTCGTGGTTTGTCCTCCACGGGTTTAACACATGAATCGACGTGTGGACTCACTTTGCTCTTGACCTCCGCAGAAAGTCCGAAGGCAGGTCCGCTCCTGAAATGTGTTGTCATCCTGCAGCTGAGGAAGAGGAGGAGGAGGAGGAGGGTTTTTTTTAAAAAAAAATGGAGGAGCAGCTCTGCGTCCAACACTGAGAATAAAAAGAGTCCAGACAAAATCCCTGCGTGTCCTCCTGTCCCTGTCTGTCCCCGTCTGTCCCTCTCTGTCCCCTCCTGCTCTTTGCGTCGCAGCTGCTCCAGATGTTCAACAACTTCTCTCAGCTGGATCTTTTTTAAACACTTCCCATGTGCGTGCCCTCCGATTGGCCGGAGCCGCCGTCCAATCGGAGGCCGGCCTCCCGGTCGTGGGGGGAGCGGTGGGGGAGTGATGTCACCGCTGCGGTATTGGATTCGAACGGTGTCACTTTTTCCACCTTCAGGCCAGAGAGGGATGCTGCTGTTATCAGATTTAAACACATGATATCACAGAGAGGCTGGAGATCTGACGTTAGGTTATATTAGACCCTCGCTCACACATAATAATGATGCACATTTTATCATATTAGAATGTTCTTTTTTTTAAATATCTTATTCTTATATTTATATTTAAACCATATTTAAAGTTATTTAATCATTTATGACTTTTGTTCTGTGTTTTAACTGATTTATTTTCTCCCCCTTCACTTCTCTCCACTCAGTGGATCTTATCTTATCTCAACTCGTCTTAGTGTATCGCATCTTAGTTTATCTTATCAGATCATATTGCTGTTGAACGAGATGTAATAATCATCACAATACTACTACTACTGCTACTTCTACTACTACTACTTCTTATAATAATACTTTAGGAAAGTTTAACTGAGAGTTTAGAGCACTGGCTTGAATTTAAATGCTCGAAATAAAAGAGCAGGTAAGATTTGTCTGGTTTAACATCACAGTTTAATTAGCTTGCAAACTAAAAATGTGTATAAAAGTAAAACCGAATTATGACTCGATAAGTTGAAATTTTGACTTGATGATGTCGTCAGGGAACCTTTAATATTCTCAGTAAATTAATTTGACTTGAATTTTACACTTTTAACTGGAGCTCTATAAATAAATGTACAGAACGTGTTATAGTGAAAACTAACTGTGACGTTCATTCAGCAGCTGCTGTCGATCTGCACAGAATCAAACTATTCTTTCAGTTTGAGACTTTAAAGCCGACATTGACGAGACGTCGTCATCATATCCAAAAATATACGTGTTCACAGCCCCACACCAGCGTGGAGCTGATAGCAGCATATTTGTGTGTGTGTGTGTGTGTGTGTGTCTGACTTTGTGTGGAAGCTTCTGTCTGACGTCACTCTGAGAGCAGTGAGGTGGTTTTCCTCTTTTACTCCAGTGTGTTACTCCTCTCTGCCCCAATAGGCCGGTGGACGACAGGGAGAAGGAATGCACCAGATTCACTGAGGAGGAGGCTCCCTACATGATTCACCCTCTGCTGTGTGTGTGTGTGTGTGTCTGTGTGTGTCTGTGTGTGTGTGTGTGTGTGTCACTACTGGACACATGGCCGGCCGACGTAGCTGGAGAGGGAAATTTCTGGAAAGGGACAGAGACAGCTGAGGTACAGTATGAGAGACAATGAAAGGGCTCAAATAGATTACTGGACACACACTGTTACACACACACACACACACACTGTTACACACACACACACACACACATTACTGCAGAGCAATGGTCTGCATGAGAGACTTTAACTGACCACAACATTTCAGCTCACAATCCAACTCACTGCAGCTGCTACGTTAAAATAAATCCCATTTGTATAAAAAAGTTCAGTTCCAGCAACTGATTACCACTGAACCTGCAGCGCGATGAGAGGCCTGCAGGGAACAACACAGAGGCCAGTTACACACGACAACAACCACCGAGAATCTGAACCAAGAGACGGGAAACAACCGCAAACATTAAAACTACAAACTGCTCTGTGTTTCCTGTCTGTCTGTCTGTCCCCTCGTCTTGCACATGTCTGTGTGCCACAGCCCAGTGACTCACAATCAGTCCATGAACTAAAATCCCACCTGCAAACAAAGTCAACTGGTTGAACTGTGTTTTCAAACATGAATTATTATCGTGTGAGATGTGAATTGGTCCCAGAACGTTCCTGAAAGTGTTTTCAGAATCAGAATCAAAGCAGGTTTACAGATGTGGTGTGTTTCGTGCAGCTACAAATGTAAAAAAAAGAAAACAAAATTAAAGATGATAACATCATAAACACGGATTGTGCAACATGCTGTAAGCTCAAGAGAAGGGATTGTGTAATTTGGACGAGGAGCGAAGTTTCAGGTTTAAGCTCCAGACGCGCGAAACGATCGGTTTGTATGTGAGAACTGAAAGAATCAATAAATACACTGAGAGCCGCAGGTAGCTGAAGTGTCAGCTGGTATGTAAACAGCCACAAGTTAAATAAACTTCATGATGAGTTTAGACCCTGAAAGTTTCAGATGAAGCTGAAACGTGTTGAACTCATGAAACACATTTGATTAAATCCTGTTTCTGGCCCCGATGAGCTCATCAACAATCGACGGATTCAGATAAATGAGTGAGAAAACTTCTTCTTTCTACTTTTACGACAGAGGAGACGTCTCGTCTCTGTAATGTTTCTGAGGTGGTGAAACTATCGGCCAACACATTAAACTTAATCTGTTAAATAGAATTCTACTTTCTGCACAGACACTCTGCACAGTTGCACACACACACACACTCACACTCACACACACGTGCACACGCACAGATTGAGGGGTTTTATAAACATTTCACAGGGAGACGAAGAAGAAGCGTACACATGGAATTCAGACACTTTATTTGGGCATGATGGGAGAAGGGAAGGGCCTGAGCAGACGTGGAGAGAGAGAGACAGAGGTATAGAGATGTAGAAGAAGGAATCCCTCACGCTGTAAATCTCGTATATTCACAGCCTGCTGGGACACATGTTGTCTGTATGTTCCTCCACTGTTCAGCATCATGTGATGTGGATGTCGTCCGACGAGTCAAAAGGACAAAGACGATAAAAGTGCCACAGTTGAAATTGACCCGTGATAATAAACTTAATTTAATTTATTTAGATTGAATCGACAAGGGATGTTTTTTTTTTGTTTTTTTAAAGAGATGAACTTTAACTGGTGATTTTACAATTTCTTATTTCTACTGGGACTCAAATATACCAGAGAGAAGAGAGACACCCACGGTGTGAAATCAGGAGGGCTCCAGGTTACATCGAGGTCGTGAGTCATGATATCCGACAGACGGAGCATTCCATGGACAAAAACTGGAAGAAGGATGCAGAGACCCAGTGAGGGGGGAGGGGGGGGGAGAGAGGGAGGAAGAGTTAGTGAGGCAGATTAGTGCAGAAACTCAGAAGGACTCAGACCCCTCTCCTCACTCCGCTCCGTCGGGCTATTTATGGAAGAAGGCCTCAAGATCCTGCGCAGCTCAGAGGAGTTCTGAAAGCTGAGTTCATGGCAGCGTGATTCTAATCTGTCGCTACCGTCGGACAGGAAGCTTCAAACAGACCTGGATTTGGTCAACGGGACCACCGGCGTCCACTGGGACGTCCTCACACACACACACACACACACACACACCAGTCGTCACCTTCGGCAACACGCGCTCACATGTTCTCCGTTTAATTTGAATTCTTCTTCTGCACATTTCAGCTCATTCAACAATCCAGATGTTTCAGTTAAGTTTCTTCTTCACGCTTCGTATCCGCTGCACTCCGTCCTGCACGAGTTCATCTTCATCTGGCCACTGGACGTCCATTAGACCAGACTTTTATCACAGGAAGTGCATGAAATTCAGGACATAAAAAGCTTCTGCCCTCGTTTCAACAACTTCCTTCTACTTCCAGTTAAACAGTTAATTCAACTCCCGTCAGTATTTCAACCATTAAAATCAGTTTCTCCTGGGAACGTCCAGCTGCTTTATCTTTTTATGGATGTTTTTATGTTTGTGTTCTGGTCAGAAATATCTGAAGAATCGCTCCCTCGTCCTTCTAACGCTCCACCTGAGAGGAGACGTACCTCAGCACAGAGTGAACATCATGTTTCCAGTTAACGAGCTGCTTCCAAAGTCATTTCAATCACCTCTGGGCAACGATTACAGCACCTTGGAAAACCAGCTTCGGTTTAAAGCCTCTCCAACGGAATGTAAAAATGTTTTTAATGTGTTTTGTTTTCCCAAGTCTGGGAAAGGTCTTCACCATAAATTCCTCCTGAAATAGGCATATCCCTATAATCTTATTTTTACATAATTATAACTTGCTGGGAATCGTCACCGGCCTGCGCCGCTCACAGGGAAACAACTCAAAACACAGATATCAGCCGTGTAAAGTGGGGATTTCACGTTAACACACAGGAAGTCCAAACGTCCAACAAACACAGCTGACAGGAGGTAAACACTCCTGAGAGGCTGAGGGAGCAAACGCTCTGTGTCGGTCAGCTGGAAGAAATTGTGTTGAATCAAAGTGATGACAGACGGTGGACTTTTGAAACGGGCAGGTGTGTTTCTGTGTGTACACAACATGCAGGCGATGATATGTGTGTGTGTGTGTGTGTGTGTGTGTGTGTGTGTGTGTGTGTGTGTGAGTCCACACTGTGAATGTGTGCTGTAGTAGCAGGAGGAAATTTTCATTGAGCCTCTGTTATGTGACCATGTTTGGTAAAGCTGCTCGAGCACAGTCTGACCAAGCCCCTTGACCGATTGGTACGTGTGTGTACACACACACACACACACACACATTGTGGTTTCAATCACAGACCGGCTGTGGATCAGACATCCCCCCCCACTTTCCAAATCACTCCTTTACATCTTTCTTTCTCTCCTGCTTTGAATCAAACCTCTCGTTTCACTCTTTCCATCTCACGTTGAACGTCTCACTCATTTCTTTCTCTTTCACGTACACAATTTAACAGGAAGGAAAAAACACGCAGCAACGGTGCCAACTACCAGTAGCAGGTCTTGGCGTGCTGGTGCAGAACTGTCATACAACCGGCCGACCGCTGACGAACGACTGGAACGGCTCGTTGTGCTGCTGTCTGGACAAATTACAGTGGAGGCAACAGGTTATTCCCGTGCTGACATCATCGTTCAAAGAAACTATGAATATGCACAAAACGGAAACAAGAGTGTTGCAGAAGAAGAAGAAGAATAAAAGAAACGCGTCACCAACTTTTTTCTCTTGTCTTCAACTTTATTGAAGATTAACACTTTCAAGTAAGTCTCAGCTCTCAGCACTACAGTTACATGATCATTAGTAGTGGTGATTGTAGACAGAACAACAATCTGAGCCACGACGCCATGCTCAGACGAGGCCCGTGTGTAGGTGTCGGCTGTTTCACATTAAAATCTCCAGGAACAAAACAGACATAATCACAAGAAGAAAATTGCATTGCATTAAGAGACAAAATTAAAAGGAAGGAACATAAGCCACACTGGCAAGTCATTCGAAAAGGAAAAACAAAAACAAAAAAAAAACTGGCAAGTCACTTGATTGAAGGTCTTCCAGTCGTTTAGAGCCTCTCACAGCTGTCGTGTCCTCTGAGACTCAACCCGTCACATTTCACTGAACGCACACGATCAAATTTGAAAAGATTTGACAGGAACAAAAACAAGTGTTGTGTAAAATACCGTGTGTAACCTTGAGATGAGCAGCTCAACAAACTGTATTAGTACCAATTTGAATGCAGCTTTGTTCTAGTGTCCTCGATCTCAGAACTCGATGAGCTGATTCTTTATACCTTTCTGATATATATATATATTTATATATATATATATTTAAATATATTCATTATATAATATAATGAACGTTGGCCTCCCCAAAAGAAAAAAAAAGGCAATCGGGTTGTTCTAACCTGATACAATATGAAGTACAGGATACAGCAGCCTCATCAAATCCATCAACCATCACTTCTTCATTCTGTCGATTTGTTTCCGAGCAGCCCCCCGGGTGTGAGATACAGCACAGACATCAGGGCTTGTAATATATTCTGTAGAAAATCCTGACAAGTATAAAAGTTCGGTTCAACGTCGAAACTACAAGAGAGATTCCAAAACACACGATGATGTCGAATCCTCCCCCCTCCTCCGATCATCTTAGTGTCGAGACTGAACAGTGACAGTTTTATTCTATTCACAGTTTTGAGTTGAGAAGGCTGGAGAAATGAGATGTTAGCCCCCCCCCCCCCCYYCCCCTGAACAGTGAACTACATCTTCTAAGAGCTCATGTCAAAAAAATATATAAAGCGTTTTTAATTTTCAGTTTTCATCAGGCCGGACGCCGGGCGCTCGTCTTAATGCCACCGAACGACCCATCACAACATTCACAGACGCGTATCCCTGTAATCGGGAGAGCACAAACAAATCAACACAGACCAGGCTCCCGACGACGGATCAGCTTTGGATTATAATACTTGGCCGGATTAATCATTGTGCAGGCAGATTATAAAAATATACACAGAGTATACATATGGAATAGAGAGAGAGAGAGAGAATAATCACTGGATACTTATTACACTAGAAAGATCATGCTAATCCAAATCCGACTGAATCACATCCACCGTTTGTGTAAAGGCACAAGTTACTGTAGCCCCTCCTCTGTGGTGACAGACAGAAAAACAGGAGATCACTGAGTTGTTGCTCCGCAGGGAGTGTGCTTAATAGTTCCACAGTGAAAACACCACCACGCGTTCTCAGACTGACTGCGCAACGACGGATACTTCGATGGGAAATCCGCGGATTTGTTCACGGATGACGTGGCTGCACTATACTGGTCGAAATGAAGCCTCGTGTGGCTCCAAGAGGAGCTGTGCAAAGTTTTAATGTGACAGCGTCGGTCGAGGACGGAAAAACCAGACGTTTGGGAAAAAAATGAAACACATCTGAGAAGCGTGGAGTCAGAAATAAAGGGTCGAGCTACTTTAGCCACTGATAGCATAACACACCCGACACTTTCAGCGAGGAGGAAGAACGTCCGCCTGCAACACAAATTCAAAAAGTAAAAAAAACCAAAAAACATCACAACGTGGTGTCTGTGATTTACTTCTGTGGAAAAGATGATCACACGTGAATCAATAACGACCGACGTGACGCACGTGACTGAACCGTTAGCGCCGCTAACATGTGATCCGTGTGGAGACACTTCTTACGTTTATAAAACATGCTAATTGGTTAGTGTTTCCTAAAGGTCCAACTGGACCTGGCTGCAGAATCAGAACTACCAGTCGCACTGCGGCGGACGGAGATGCGCATTCGTTAATATTTTCCTACAGAGTTCTTTTGGAATTTGGTTGAAACTTGTGCTGCGGCTGAATGGAAACCCGACGATAATCTCTGGTTCTACTGCATTGATTCTTTTCCCCCCTTTTAAAAAACAAAACAAAAAAACAAACCAAACAATCGACATCGACGTTACAGGAGCGCGATGCTAAATCGGTGGAATACTCATTAAAGCAAAAACTAAAATGTGAGCAGAGGACAAATGTTATCTGTGTCTTCAGTCCTGAAACAACCTCTTGTGTTTCTGTCTGTTGTGATGTCACCTAAGTTAGTGCTTGTAAAACCAAATTTAACGCCAACGGCTCTGCAGAGGATGTCGGCGAGGATTAGTGAGTTAGGCATACAGTACGAAAAAGGTACCTGCAGAGTTACTGTGTGTGAATATATGTACAGACATGCAGGGAGAGGAGAGAGGGCTCAAACGTACATGCATTCAGTTTCCTCCCAGAGGCAAAAAAAAAACATGACCTGTTTTGGAAGACAAACCCTTTTTCAGCATTAGATTAATGCAATTAATCTTTAGATGCTATTCATCTATGGTAACTATTCACTAAGGCATCACAGAATCAATCTTACCATGCGTTATAGACATGATTTATACTTTACACAGAGAAAAGAAAAAACAAACATGCAGATTGCCACGTTGCGTTCAACAGCACATTGTTGCCACAGATTGGTACATCCATATAAATCTGAGAATTAGATAGAAAAGAATTTGGAAAAAAAAAAAAAAAAAAAAGTCATATTGCTAACATTCAGCAAAAGGAGGAGCACCACGTCGGCGTTTGAGAAGGGCACCAAATACAGTGTGTGGCTTGCATGCTATTCTCTGCCCCCTGTCCTCCATTAGGTTCTCAGAGTTACTGAGAACAGAGGCGATAAATGAAAGTATAAAAGCCTCGGGGTGGGGGGTGGGGGTGGGGTGCCGCTCTACACTGACGGGACGTTTTAGTGAGAAAAGTGATGCCGCTGCGTTTCCCCTGCGCTGCCTGAGATAAACAGACAGCGGACAGAGGAGGAGAGGCCCCCGATGCTCCAGTGATATCACAACACATGACGCTCAGAAGGCTACGTACAGACGAGAAGAAAGAAAAGAAAAAGTTGATCAAATCGCGAGGAAGGGACTGACAGAGCGTCTGTAAGGCAGGGGGAGAGGTAGAACAAAATCAAATGTTCGAGCTGGATAGTGGAGCTCTATCCAGTGAGGCAGAGGGTTGCAATGGATGGATGGTGATATTAGATTTAGATGCGTTACTGTGACTGCTAAAGAGACTGAAGAGATGAATACTGAAAAGGCATAATTCGTTACGGGTGTTAGAGAGCGTGTCTTTCTCTCTCCTGCATGCACAGTCTCAGTTCTCTAATATATATATATATATATCCCAAATTATGCGGCGGTTGGAGGGCTGGTGATATCGGCAGGCGCCACTTGTCACAAGGAGGCCACAGCAGGTGAAACTGTAGAAGAGGCATTATGGTGTTTTCTTCCTGTCTCTTTTCGTGAGGTCAGATGAGTTCAAGACAAGAGCCCTGTAGATTCACAAACACTGTACGGGTCTGATGGGAGAGCTCTTCACTCTGGACGTCACGTCTCCTCGAGCGTGGACGCGCTTATCAAAAACAGAAGAGGTCGTTCAGGAGCAGCAGAGATCGAGAGATGGAAGTCGTCTAAAGGGGCCGCAGAGCTTTGCGATCGTATTCCTCCGGGATTATTGCTTTTCCTGTTGTTCACAGGCACTTCAGGGGGGG